CCCTTACCAGGCTTTTTTGGGGGAAATTGACTTTTCTTAAAAACATTTATGGGATTTTACTGGTTCCTCATATCATAAATTGTTCATCTCCCCCACCCAGGCTTCAGCATGTTATTAGATTCTCAGCAAAATAAAACCCCAGAGGGAATCAGAAGCAAGGTGATGGAGAAGAGCTGAAAAACACATGAAATATAAGCATTCAGATCAAAAGCAAGTTGTGGGTGAATGTACATGTGTGTGTTATGTTACGCAAATGAGCTGAGTCCTCCCCATCAACTTCGCGTCAACTTAAGACATAATTGCTCTTTCTCAGCATCTTGAAGTCAGAAAACCCTTTCTCTCTCTCTCTCTCTCTCTCTCTCTCTCTCTCTCTCTAAATATATATATATATTCCAAATTGAATATAGTGCAATATGATTAGATATAAATAATACAACATGCCTGAAATAGTGTCGCCTCTCGGCATTAAAGCATGCACGTCATGGAAAGAAAGGGGAAAAGCTTTTTATCTATTTTGGCATATTTTGTTTGCTGTGGTTTGTTTTGTTCCTTAGGAAAATTCAACCTTTGCCATGGAGGAAAATGCTCAGAACCTTCCTTTGTTTTGTTTTTGAAGGAAATTAACAGAGAGATGAGAGAGAGAGAGAAAGAGGACGCTTTTGACTGAAGGGCTGCCATAATAACACACTTGAGGGTTGGTTGTCTGAGCACACCAGGCCCTCCTGTCTTGGGAGCAGAACACAGCCTCAGTTGTGATGTCAAGGGCTTGTCGTGTTGTACACACAAGGGACTGGTTCTGCATTAGGAAAGAGGAAAACATTGCAATGGCCCTTCAGTTTTCTCCATGTTCTGTATATTCTTGTGACTTATACAGACAATATATTTTCAGCAACATGGTAGCATTCTTGTCTTTCTGTCTCTTGTAGCAATAAATGTCCACTAGAGCAGAACTGAAATGATCACCACTCTCTTCTTAGGCTATGAAGAGTCTCCACCCCTTTCACCATTTTGTTTAGGATGTGAATTCAGCACCATAGCTCAGAGCTGTTTTTTCCTTCCTTCCCCCACACAACTCCAAGGAACCAGGCAGATCTAGCAATGTGAAGCTGTCAAGCCAAATCAGAGTGAGGGCCATGTTCCCTGCCCACACTTTGACGTTGTTTCATGCAAAAAAGAAGAAGAAGTGTTTGGATTTGATATCCCGCCTTTCACTCCCTTTAAGGAGTCTCAAAGCGGCTAACATTCTCCTTTCCCTTCCTCCCCCACAACAAACACTCTGTGAGGTGAGTGGGGCTGAGAGACTTCAGAGAAGTGTGACTAGCCCAAGGTCACCCAGCAGCTGCATGTGGAGGAGAGGGAAGCAAACCCGGTTCACCAGATTACGAGTCCACCGCTCTTAACCACTGCACCACACTGGCTCTAAATTGGTGCTAAGCAGCACTGAACAGCACAGTGGCCATGACTACCTGGACCACAAAAAAGGGCCAAAAAACTAAATGGAGGGGAGGCACTTGTGAAGCTTAATACCCCCTGAAGTGTCCTTTCAAGACAAAAGAAATTGCTATAGAGATATTCAACTTCATCGTAATATTTCCTTTCTCAGTTGCTCTGGCAATCCATTTCCCCGCCCCCTCAATTTTCATAGTATACCCAGAGGTAACTGCTAAAAAAGAGATCTCCCCAGCAAGGAGTTTAACCAGTGCCCTTATGATAAAGACGCATACATTTTGTATGATTAGGAGAACCACTATGTCATCGCTAGTGGCAAGGTCCAATTTTCATGCCCTGGTTTAGAGTTAAAAACATTTAACAGAAGTTAATAATGAAGAGTCTTGTGGCAGCTTAAGTACTATCAAATTTATTACGGAATAAACTTTCATGGACTAGGGTCCACTTCAACAGATGCAAATATCACCTCCAGAGGGTCTCTTGCAGCGAACTACAGTCTACTTCAACAGATGAACCCTCTGGAAATGGCTAAGCCATTAGTTTCACAAAAGAAGATTCTTATTCTACTCTATCAGATGGGTGCACATGCACTATCATAAAAAGAAAAACAAATATGAAGCTACCTGCTACCATTGCCCTATCGCCAGCTTGGCCCCTTGTAATTGCATTATAGGTATCATAGTTATATTGTGTGCAGTATTGCTGTATTGTTTATATATGTTGCTTCTAGTGTATTTGGTTTGCACAATCTCTCTTTCGTTTTTTTTTTTTTTTAGCACCCATTCTTTTAATTGTAATTTGTTTTAACTGTTGCATTTTTACACTGCTGTGACCTACGTTGGGTTCTGGTGTTGATGAGAGGGTTCATAAAGCATCATCTCTTTTTTACTGTACAGTGGTACCTCAGGTTAAGAACTTAATTCGTTCTGGAGGTCCGTTCTTAACTTGGAACTATTCTTAACCTGAGGTACCACTTTAGCTAATGGGGCCTCCTGCTGCCGCCGTGCCGCCGTAGCACGATTTCTGTTCTCATCCTGAAGCAAATTTCTTAACCCGAGGTACTATTTCTGGGTTAGCAGAGTCTGTAACCTGAAGCGTCTGTAACCTGAAGCATCTGTAACCCGAGGTATCACTGTCTATCTAATGAATGCACAGCCCCCATTATCCATGCACGGACTTAAGCTAGAGTAACCCAATTACCTCTTAGGATGTGTGAGCAGTGCTTGCCACCCTCAGAGTGACCTTTGTTATTAAGGCTTTAACTGAAAGGCAGTGGTAAACTCAAACCAGGAACTCTGCCAGTAGGGCCCGGGACTTTTAAGGCCAACCTACAAGTAACATTAGATACGTATAGTACACACAGGGTTTGTTTTCTGAAGATGCAAATAGCACAAGCTGAGTGTGGGGCTGATAATTAAGTGTTGAGTGTTACCCTTTCCTCCCATGTTGTGGTTCTGAGGAAGCTGGTGATTGTTTCAGGGGGAAATCCTCCATTGTTGGCAACGCTTCAAACTTTCTGAACCAAAAGGAGAGGCAGAAATGCTTTTAATAAAATGAATTAAACATGATGTGGCGACTGAACTAAAATGGAAAGCACTCTAGCTGACCCCAGAGGGTCCCAGGAGGCACAGGAGGCACAGGAGACTGTCACTTTACTGAAGCCAAGCAGACCTCCTGGAAGCCACATGTATGGAAAAGGTGAGATAGAAATATAAGAAATAAATAAATAAGGGGTGTTGGTCAAGCAAGCCCTGGCTAGAGAAACAGCAAGTGTGAGTCCTTGCTCTCTTTGCTTGCAAGGCCAATTGCCATTGCTGCAGACTTGAGGGGGAGATAAATCAGACTCACTGGCCACTAGTGAAGTTTCCATTGTGAAGGTGGGAAAAGCATCCTGCTCTAAAATGCTCTAAAAAGCAATGCTCTAAAATGCTTAACTCAGAAATGATACACCAGTCCAATATGTTGAGCTTATTATGGCAACTGTTCCCACGGGCTTACGTTTTATTTTGCCCTCTAAATTTACTAAGAATTTTGATCATCTTCACGACAATCCTGAGAAGTTAAGGGGGGCAAACTGGTTGTATGCACATGTCTGCTAAGCACATGATTAGCCATCCAGCTGTGAAGCAGGGGTTGTGGAGTCTCACTTTGATCAAAATGAGCAGGCTGGTGTGGGAACCAAAGTCTGCCCTGCCCCTCACAGCTGCTTTGAGCTGTTTTCCCCCAGCCCAGCTTCAATACCAGAAGGTCTCCTTGATCAACATGCAGCTCTAAGTCTAGACATGTGGCATTTCACATGTTTTTGTTGCAGCACAGCAAGTTGGAACAAAATGATCTCCTCATGCTTCACACCAGTACAAATTTTCAGCACCATAAACAAGGCTTAACCCTACTTGCCAGAGGATTTCTGTAAAGATCCTTAGGGCAGCAATATTAGTTGAATAACCAGTCACATCCATCAGTTAAAACATTTTCATCAGCTAAAAGTGTGCCTCTGATTAATCAGTCCGTTTTTCAAAAATGCATACAGTGTGTGTGTGTGTGTGCACTCGCACACATAACAACAACTGCAGGTGTCACACTTAAGAGAAAATGCAGTGTGTGTTCTGCCTGTTGTAACAAATGTGTGCATCATTGAATGGATGGCTACTCAGAAGTAAGTCCTACTGAATTCAGTGGGGTTTATGCCCAGGGAAGTGGTCAGGATTGCTGCCGAAAAGCATGATTTGCCCCTTAAAACTATTGTTTTTCTCATATGCAGTTAACCAAGTTTCCTTCAACTGCGTTACAGCCCTAGAGATAATGTAGGTCATACATGTTTTACACAGATGCCACAAGGAGACACTGACTAGATCGTTGATACTGACAAGGTCTTACTATTCTTTTGCTGAAATCTGTATAGACGTAATTAGAACAGGAAAAAGAAGGTGCAGTTAATTGCTGTTTGTCAAATTCAGTTGCCTGCTCTCTCTAAAAAGAGCCCATCAATTGACTGGCAGTGACCTCACCCACCTAGGTGAGGTTACATCTTGATTGTGCAACCAGAATAAGTAAAGCCTCTTAGCAGGGGAGTCAGACAGCCGTGTGACATGGTTAACAATCTGTGGACATGCATCAAAACAAGCATGCTCCGAATACCAATTCGCACCACTTGTGGATCTCTGAGGACTTTTTACAGGAGCAACACAGATATTTAACAAGGGATGGGTGTGGTCAGTCATGGGGCAGGCATCTCTGTGTCCCAAGATGAGGGAGTGAGGTTCTTCAGCAAGGTTCATCCACAAGGAAGCTTTCTGTTCCTCTTTGTTCTCTAGCACAAAACTTGAAGTATCTGCTAAAAAAGAGAGAGGTATTGACAGTGACAGAGGATGCGCAAACCACACATCGTATTTCCAAGCCTCTAGGCATCAAGCAAAGGAGGAACTTGCACATCACCCTTGAAGAGAAATGCCCAAGTTCTACCCATAATGGGAGTGGATATAGATATTGGAAGGGCTGAAGCAGAGCAAATGCAGACCCATATGCACTGGGAACAGAAACTGCTTTCGAATGAGTCTTGATCCAATTTAACAATCATAACTTCCTCCAAACAATCCTGAACATTGTAGTGGTGTTAGGGTGCTGGAATTCCATGAAAATACAGTTCACAGTGTTCCTCAATAGGAAGTCAGGATACTTAATTAGGTTTGAAGTGGGATGATGATGATGATGATTGATGATTAAGCAAGGATAGAGAACACTGGACTGTCAGCCAGCAACGTTCTCCATGTGGATGCTACAGGAGGCCAGTGTTCAGAATTCTGTTTCCAGGCACCAAGAAAAAAAGAGAGAGGGCTACCCTCCAAACCAGCCTGAATGAGCTTAGCTGTGCTCTAAATCCCTGCTGGCGATCTGGCCTTGACATCTCAGCCTGGGGGTTCTCCCACTTAGCATTTGCACAAGTCCAGATGAAATCTAATGTCAAACTGAAGTGAATTAACTAGAAATGGGGAGGCAATTCAATTTGCATTATGAATTTAAGGGAGTGCTTAGGAGGTGGGGACAACACTCCACCAAGGCTTTCCGTGGGTGTCTTATAGAACTCTTGCTGTGTGTAAACAGACTCACTCCTGCTTAGCCTTAACAAGCAAAACATTTCAGCAGACGATGAAGTAACAAAAAGAGAGAGAGAGAGAGAATCGTCGAAGAGGATGGATGTTTCCCCAGCTCATTCTCTGCAGTCGTGGCTGGGTGGGGGAACTCTTTTCCGTTCCCGCTGAGAAGACAGAGCCAGCGTGTTGCCTGAAGGATCCAGGAGGTACAGCTTAGATGCAAACCTGTGTTGTTGTTTTTGGCAGACAGAAAATATTGCAGCTAGGGATATTGGGAGCCACCTTAAAAGTGGTAGCTAGAGCTGTCAGGCTGAGTGGGGAAGCACTCAGACCAAGAGAGACAGCAGTTGCCAGCAAAGACAAGCTCTATCCACAACAGCACAGCAAGCAGCCTGGAAGAAGAAAACAGACATTGCTCCCAAGCTCTCCTTGCCCCCTATACTTGCCTGCATTTCCTGACACCCAAGAAGCCAGCCAGCCAGCTAAGCCTCCTGGATTATAAGGGCCAAGGCTACAGATGACAGGCTTGGGCATTCAAAGCCATCTGCTCTGTTTATTTGGTTGTCCTCCTAAGTAAAAGGGAAGAAAAGGAAGGGAGGAAAGGAAAGCAAGCTTCTGGCAACTTGAACGGTAAGGCTGAAAAACACTTTAAAAAGCAGAGAATTGCAGTCAGCCTAGCTGTGCACGTGTCTGTGTGTGTGTGTGTGTGTGTGTGTGTGTGTGCTTGAAGCTGATGCATGTTTATTTCACTGGAGCCCATGTTGCAGACAAATAGCGAAGCTCTGGCTGGTGTCTTAGAGTGTGGGGAGTTGGTCTGCAGTAGAACTGAAAGGAGGACGTAGCTTGAAGACTGCAGCAGGATGTCTGTGAGGTTCGCCTTTAATTCAGCTGCAGTTTAATAGTCTGTTGGGTCTAGTGCAATGTAAAAAGACACTGGGCACTTGATGCTATTAACATACAGACACGGTGCCTACTGTCGGAGCTAGTTAGGAAGGAAATGAGCGTCCGTTAACTGGGCTGGAAGGAAAGCTGTTGTGAAAGAATGATGGAAGGTGGGTAGAAGAAACAAGAGCAGCCCCCTCCCAGGGGAAACTTTGCTCTCCAGAGATAAAATACAGCTTCTGGTTTAGAGAGATAGGAGATGTGGGCTTCCTTCCACACACATTTTTTTCTCACTGGTTTGCTAAGACATATAAAAATGGGAATCTTCCTTAACCTGCTAGGGTCCTGGAGGTTCACCTGTTCACGTGAAGTTTTGCCACTGCTGTTTTGCAATGCAAAAGCGGCATAGTTTCAAGCTGGCTGAAAATCTGATCCTGTTTTGTTTACTAAAGCCACATCTGCAAGGTGGGCTTTTGCAAATCATATTCTATACAATCCCATTATGGGACAGAAGGAGAGTAGTCAGATGCAAAAGAGGATAGAGCACTTTTGACAAGCAACTGCCTGCTGAAATTCCCTCTTCTCCACAGCTATTAAAGGTGCAGGAGCTGTGGCTCTGTTGTATCTGGTACTGCCTTACAAAGGAGGTATTTGTTTAACCAGGAATGATACTATGGTTTCCTACCTACCAACCCCATTCCAAATTACAGTACTCTTACAGTCCTAAAGATGTCTGCAACAGGTGAGGGGCAGGTAAACAGGGTACAGTGGAGCACAGAGATTTGATCTTTATCAACATGCATTGGGTCTGTACTTGTGTGTAAGCAGAACATCATCCAAGGGGCAATTAACATGATGCATTGTTGTGGTCAAGTTGATTAGATCCAAGCTAAATTTAGCATGTGGTTGTTATGTAGTTTCATCTTGCACCCAGTTTGGCACTTAGACCAAACTGCTGATTTAAATCTGCTAATCATCAGGTGCTTTGTGGCTAGTGTATGTTGAACTGGAAGTTGGGCATGTCAGTTAAACTGTCACAGTATCATTTCATCATCTGGTAGATGATCCACTCAACAAATAGTCCCATCAGTTCTTGTGAAACTGAAAGTTTTCACAACTAAGAATCCACACTTTCAATATGGAGCTCAAACCACACAATCCATGGCAAATACTGGCACATTTTTATACTTCAGTGAAGGCCATAGAATGAGCCCAGCTAATATGGCCATTAAGCACTGTCTGCTCTGACAGACAGCAGTGGACTTTCCTAACCAGGTTACGATGCTACCCAAATACCTTCATAAGCAAACCTCCGGGGACTGAACAGGGAGCTTTGTGTATGCAAACCGTGGGTTGTAGTGCTAAACAAGCCTGCCCTCCCTCCCATTACTGGAAGCAAACACATGCTTGTCGATTCAGGAACTGCAGTACAGAGCCACATCAAAAGTGTTCTGGAATTGTCATCAACGTTCTTTACTAGGGATGGCACAACCCAACCTGGGTTTGGAGGTGGCAAGTTTCAATCTGCCCAGAAACAGCACCTTCAGAAAGCCAAATGAATGGTGGTCTAAGATGATGCTCCCATCTCCAAGCTGACTAATATTTTTACAGGCTATTTTTAGGCAATCACTGGTGTTGGGCAATGTGCCATTTTAAATTTGCATATCTAACAAAATTAACAGAAGCAAATTACACCTTTTCTTTCGAGGGAGATGGCAATCTATGATTTTAGTCCAGGAATTGCGTCATCCCCACCCACCCTCCGCTGGCTTAATGGAACTTGGCAATTAGCAAAACTAATCAAAATGGCTCTATTTCCAATGTTTGCTAAAATCTTCAGCATGTGAAGTAGGTATCCTAATTGGCCTCAACTTAGCAGGCAAATAAAAGCTTTTTTTTTGGCCAAATTTAAACCCTATTGCTTTCCATGAGAAAGTTAGGCATGTAGTTCAATATTTCCACTGAAATTAATAGGACTTGGTCCAGTTAATGTTAAGCACGTTTACGTTCCATTGATTTTAGTGGAAAATGTTTAAGCACATCCTTAACTCTCTCAGGGAAATCAATTGGATTTAAAAATGCCTAACTCTGAATTGTCTTTCTGGGGCCATTTGAGCAGCACCCACTGATTCTCTGCTGGTATCTCCTCAGATGCTTAAAGTGTTTGGGTTCCCTTCCGTTTGCATTTTATGAGGAAAAAAATTGAGCAGCCTTATTCCTACGAGGGCATCAACTGAATGAAGCCTTGACCATTATTATAACTTGCATAGCATTTTCTGTTGTACAAGTGTACTTTTAAAGTCACTATCACATTCACTCCCATAACAGCCTTTAAGGCGTAGGTCATCCCCACATTACGAGTGAAGAACTGACTCTGAGGTGCTCTCCTTGACATATGGAGCATTCATAGCTAAGCAAAGATTTGAACTTGCTTCCCGCTGGCTTATGTTGGTGGATTTTCAGTCACTGGGTCTGCAGCTACCTGATTTCAGACCAACCACAGACATTCTTCTATGAGATGAGAACAGCTAAGCCATCTGGCTATTATGTCCACGCAGTGTGAAAAATTAACTTTGGAAGATAATTCATGATTTTGCAAAGGAAAAGACCAGAAAAACAAAGCTTTCTTCCTGAATTGGTCTGTTTATAAAATGTTTGCAGCTGCATCGGTCCCTTAGGATGGAGGGAGGGGGAATCAAAACAGTAAAAGCACAGTACCTTTAGTAGTGCCAACCAAAAAAATGACAGAATAGTCAGCAAGCTTTATAAGCCTCTTACCTCAGGCTGGAAGTTATGTTAAAAATAGAGGAGGGGTATTTGGGGGCATAGCAGAAACTCCCAGTGTGGCTGTAGTGTAATTTCAGAAATGTAGAAAATGTGATTTCCGGATTAAAATAGAAACTTTTCTTTCATGACTCATGAGATTGAGATGGGATTGATCTGATGCTCTTTTTTTACTGGGCCAAGATCAACGATGCTTGAACCCAGAAGGAGCTGGGGGGGGGCATTGTTGCTCCTCTGCCTTCCCAACCCAGCGGTTGCTGCCAGGGAGGTGGGGCATAAGAGTAGGGAGGTTGGTGTGATGCAGGCGCAGTGTTATTGAGAGTCAAATTGGCTTCGTCACTGCACCAGCACCACACCAGCCACTATGACACTCCTTCTCTTCCTCTTGGTTTATGGCAGTGATCACTGCAGTGGAAAACCAGGTAAGTGATGCTGCCCCAACCTGCTCCGCCCTGCCAGCCGATGCTGCCTGGGCTCTGGTCAGATGAGACCAATGGCCCATCTCAATCTTGCCACGTGACCTCGGAGCTTCCTGCTTGGTCCTTGTTGCTCTGGGCAGCTTTGAACAGAACTATGCAAGTGCCTGTGGCCCCTCTGGTTCTCACTTTCCTGCTCTAGAACTTCCCCTCTGTCTGTGTTGACCACTCCTCCCCTGACATCCTTAGCCAGCCAGCCAGACAACCTGCTTCCCTCAGTCCCAGAATCTAATGGTCTAGAATAGGGGGTGGAGATCTGGTGGCTGTCCAGATACTGTTGGGCTCCAACTTTCATCATCCCCATCCAGAATGGTCAATGGTCACAGAACGTGGGGCTTGTAGTCCAGCAAAATCTGGAGGGCCCCAGGTACTCCTGCCCCAGGTTAGAGTTTGACAACCAATGTGGCCTAATTCAGGATGGGCCAATCTGCCAGGTTGGGTTTTTCTCAGTTTCTTATGTTTCCAGTGTTAAGATCAATTCTCCACATTTCTATCTAAGTTTGCAATTTAAAAAATATATATATATTCTCATGAAAAATGTACTAGCATTTCAGTGCAAATTTATCCTAATATCCATTTCCATGCAATTTTTTCCTAATATTTCCCACAAGACAATGCGTTGTTTAATGTTATTTTCACAAACATATGCATTTTTATGAACACTTTACCTCGGTATATGCATTTTTGTGAGCATTACTTGACTGGAGAGCTATACTGCAAAATTCAAAGATGTGTGAATTTTGAAGAGCGGCTGTAGTTTGGTTCTTGTATTGTTTCAGATAGTGCAGATTAGGTAGGTTCACCTTTAAATGCAAAATGCCCACAATAAACATATCAGTTGTTAGTAGTATAACCTTAATGGTTAGATGTGCAGTCTCTGAAATACTGAAAAATGTAGAATGCAATTCTATATACATCTGCTCAGAGTCTCATTGAGTCAAATGGGGATGTGTGATTTGAGATTAAGTTTTGCCTCTTAACAGGAATGCACTGTCAGACAAACATCTTTTCTCCTTATTTGAAGTGCATCAATGAGACTACGTTTCTAATTGCAGGAAAGGGTATAACATTTATTCAGGCTGTTTACTTTTTATAAGATATATTCAGTTTTGTACCTCCAAATCATTTGTCTCTTTCGTACTAACTGCCTCTGACAATAAAATCCCATGTATGTAAATGTCTACTCAGAAGTAAGCCCCAATGAGTTCACAGGGACTTACTCCCAAGTAAGTGTGCATAATTTATCTCTAAGTTATATTATTGGGTAATAATAATAATAATAATTAAAAAGGCAACTAGTGAAATGCTAACATTTATGCTTTCCTTTGATGATAAAGGATTGCCGTGTTGGTCAATATCTGTTTTAGTTTAAACCTGTGTGTGTGTGTGTGTGTGTGAGAGAGAGAGAGAGAGAGAGGGAGAGCTGTGATTTGAAAGTGGAACGGGGGAGGGGGGACAAGGGGTCCATGGATATCCTGTGCCCAAGGACCCCCACAAACCTGGAGCTAACCCTGATTATGAATAGACCATCTCCTCCAGGAATTTGTATACAGTAACTCTTTTTAAAAAGCCACCTAATCTATTGGCCATCAACATATCCTGCAACAGTGAATTCGATAAATTATGTGTTTTTCCATTCCTGGTGCATTTCAAATATATCCAAGGGTGTGATAATAGAATACAAATAATTTGCAGGGGAAGAACTGAGAGATCTTGCTATTACATCCTCCTACACAGAGCAGTGTGTGAGCCTGGCTGGGATTTGTATCTATCAGCTATCCATTATACCATGCCATTTTTCTTCATATTGGCTGAGAACAGCAAACCTGACACTCTCATATCTGGAATACTGCAAACAACTCCAAGTCTGAGGGCAGCAGACATTCCAATATCAAGGAGAGATAGATATTCCTTTTAACAGAATGTGATCGAGCTCTTGAGCAAAGCCGCAACAAATTCCATCCCCCAAAGTGGATTAATGAGTGATATTCTGCAGGTTGCCTTCCCCAACTTGGTGCCCTCTAAATGTTTAGGAGTAAAACTCCCATCAACACCAGGCAACATGGCCCTGGGAGTCATAGCCCCAAACGTCTGGAGAGCTCCTGGTTAGGGGAAGGCAGATCTTGAGTGAGAAGGTATGAGGAGATGACAGGTATGAATCCTGATGGATGCAGATGGGAGAATTGTGATGAGCAGATGCCTTCAGAAGATGGAAACTGAAATCGTACCAATGGACTTTTTGCATCAATCATTGGTTCTGCTATCCAAGAAATTTCCTCTTCCATCAAAAAGTATAAGCTGGACTTCTTCTTCTTCTCTTCTCAAGAAGATTGGAAGAAATTTAAAGATTATTTACAGAAATATTGCAAAATTAATGAATGTTAGAACGATGTTGGATTGAAGCTAAGTGGTTTTCAGCAGTAATGTTATAAAGATGTGTAAAAATGGACTGTTAACAGGGGATAATTTAAAGTTATATTAAGATTAAAGATTAGCATTAAAATAAAGAGGGAAAGGGTTTGCTGAACCAACCAATTGAACTGGATACAAAAAAGGGAGGTGTGAGGAGGTCTGGGGAACAAGCAAATGAAAGATAAGACACGAAAAGAGTGAATTGTTTTTAACTGTTTTTGATTTTGTATTTTTTTTCTTTTTTCCTTTTTGTAATACTTTGGAAACTTTAATAAAAATCTTAAAAAAACAAAAACAAAAAGTATAAACTGGTAATTCTGCAAATGTATTGTTTGGCTTTGTAGTAACAAACTGCTTGCAACCTTTCTCTCTCCCCCCCCCCCTTTTTAATCCCCCCCCCAATCAAACATTATCTTCACATACCTTAATAAACAAATACAATTAAAATTTTTAAAAAATAGAAAATAAAACATTTTCATACCATATTAAATCCATATTTTGGGATTCCTCCGATCCCTTGACTTCCCTCCATTCCCTTCCCCAGTTCTTTTGTGTTTTCTTATGTTGTACATGTCTATAATTTTCTTATCTTTAAATATTTCCAATTTCAAACCTTGTCATTAACATTACATTACAAGTGTTTTTTTTAAAACCCTGCTATTGTTTTAACTTTACAGTGCTTTTGTAAATATGCAATAAACATTTCCCATTATTTTTTATATTTGTTGTCCTCTTCATTTCTTAGCCTTCCAGTTAATTTAGCCATTTCAGCATATTCCATTAGTTTACATTGCCAATCTTCTTTAGTTGGGACTAGTTCTTCTTTCCAGCATTGGGTTATCAATGTCCGTGCGGCTGTTGTTGCGTACATAAACTTTTATATTCTTTCAGTATATCCATTCCAATTATACCTATTAAGAAAGCTTCCAGTTTTTTAACAAAGGTTATTTTAAACATTTTTTTTCCAATTCATTAAAGATCATTTCCCAAAAGCTTTTTATAACCTTACATTGCCACCACATATGGTAAAATGTACCTTCTGCCTCTTTACATTTCCAACACTTATTATCTTTTGTTTTGTACATTTTTGATAGTTTAACTGGTGTTAAATACCATCTATACATCATTTTCATATAGTTCTTCTTAAGTGCCGTACATGCCATGAATTTTATATCATTTCTCCATAATCTTTCCTAGTCTGCCATCTGTATATTATGTCCCACATCTTTTGCTCATTTTATCCTTACACATTTCACCTCTTCATCCTTTGTCTCCCATTCCAACAATATATTATACATTTCTGATGATAATTTATAATCACTTTCTATTATTTCTCTCTGGAATTTTGAGATTTCATATGCTAATAATAATAATAATAATAATTAATATCTTGCAACATTTTTCATAGCCCTAATAGAAAGAATGAATTCAAAGAACTCTTAACTTGCACTGTGGAAGGCATTGCACAATCATTTGATAGTGCCCTGTGCTACTCTGGCAAATCCGATCCAATTGTCCCTTTTTGATTTTCTTCTGCCCAGATACTTTCTGAGAAAACAGTGCAATAATATTTGATAGCATGGATGATGACAAAGAACTACATCATGTTCCTTCAATATTTGGTGAGATTGCAAATACATTCCCCCCTCCCAAACATTCCTGATCTTGTACCAAATGTACCTACAAGACTTTGTCACAGATTCCTAGCCTACAATTAGTATAAAGAATGTGTAACAGTACTGAGCAGCTGGTGGATCCCATTTTGTTTTTGCAGTTTTCCCAAATTTGTTAGACATAGCAGTTTTCTGATAGGAAGAAAGAGAGATTACAGGCCCCTTCATTCATTAATCTCATGAAGGGGATTCATAGGATTACAGGAAAAGTGGGTCCACCTGCTCCCTGGCATTGACTCCCTGCTGCCCCCATATCTAAGAGTTGTGCGTGGATGTCAGAGAAGGAGAAACCTATGGTTGTAGAGGTCTACATCTGAGAAAAGGTCTATGCTCTTCTTAGTTAGCTATTCTCAGTTTGTTGATGTTAGGGGAATGGACTTTGGAGCTGTACAGCCTTGTGGGGCAGGACCAGTGATGGGGGACCACTGCTCCTTTAATCCCTGGAAAGAGACTTACGCAGAAAGATGAAGGCTTGCATGCTGTAGGAAAAAGACATCACTCTCATTGCACATTGAAAGTCACAACCATGTTACATGTCAATATTCTGGGTAGTCAGAACTAATTTGTAGCCATGATGAATATGACTGCCTTGGGATGTAAGAGCAGAGGGGGCTTTCACAGTACAGTGGTACCTCGGGTTAAGTACCGTACTTAATTTGTTCCGGAGGTCCGTTCTTAACCTGAAACTGTTCTTAACCTGAGGTACCACTTTAGCTAATGGGGCCTCCTGCTGCTGCCACGCCGCTGGAGCACGATTTCTGTTCTCATCCTGAAGCAAAGTTCTTAACCCGAGGTACTATTTCTGGGTTAGCGGAGTCTGTAACCTGAAGCGTATGTAACCCCAGGTACCACTGTAAAGACAAAGAATCTGTGCACTGGATTGGAAGCCAATGTGGATATTTAAGGAGAGATCTGATGTGATCAAAGCAACATGAGGACACAAGTGATTTGGACTGCTAAGTTCTATTTTGACAGAGATGAGTGGGCCAAGAGAAGAGCAGGCTGCAGTAGTCAAAGCAAGGCTGTGGAGCAGAGTTTTTGTTGAGCCAGTGGAGGGACAAAGAGCCATATTTTTGCAGTGTTGTAAAAGGAGAAGCAGCATGACTATACTTTTACTTATTATACATCTTGTTATCAAAACATGCTCATATTAAATATTTCTCTTTGTGTTGTTCAATTTCCAGTCTCACCGTGGGATCAAAGTCAAGCTGGACCTTTCTGATTCTGCTATTAGCACACAGATCCTGCGACTGGGTATGTGGATTTTTATTTTGCCTTTCAAAACTTGCTGCTGTAACAACTACCCTCTTTTTCCTGGGTTAGATATATCAGAGATCACCATGAGCACCTGAGGTGCTTTCTGAAAAGTAAGATAGGGCTCCGTAAATTTCTCTCATTTATTTGTTTCCTGCCTTTCTTCCGTGAGTCTGAGGCAACACAGGTGGTCCTCCCCCTTTCATCCGCACAAGAAGTTTGTAATATGAGTTCTATAATAATATATTATTATAGAATCACTGGAGACACAGTGCTTGGTCCCCTACACACACACACACACACACACACACACACACACACAGACACACACACCAGTGATGGCCGGCACCCATCAAAGCTGGTGAGGCAGAAGCCAGGGAGCCCAAATAGTAGCCAACTCATTCTAAGAACACTGAGAACAAGGCAGAGGAAGATGACAGCCACCCCTCTATACTGGTCGTAAGTAAGTAATAAGTAGGTAAGTAGGTGGAGCCTGGGTGAGGGCAGGCTGAGACTGGTGGGCAATGCTCCACTTTTCCAAATGGACCAGCCTCCACTCTTCTGGTAGAGCATGAGTCTTTTAATCTCAGGGAGCATTTGAGCTGCACATTGGGCAAAAGATTCCTGCAATGCAGGAGATTGGACTAGAGCAGTGTTTCCCAACCTTTTTTGGGCAAAGGCACACTTGTTTGATGAAAAAATCTCGAGGCACACCACCATTACAGCCCCGTGACGTCAGCGCGCAGCGTCACGCCGGGAGGGATGCACGAAAGTGTAACTTTCAATTTTTTTCCCTCCCCCTTGCCGGGGAACCTCCAAGCTTTGGGGGTGGGGGGGGGGAGGAGGCAGCAAAGCGAGGGACTGAGGGACTCCTCCAACGACAAGGGTTGGGGAAGAAGAGAAAGGGCTATTCCGCTCCAGTCACGGGAGGGGAATATGTACTGGCCTAACTGGTGTGCGGTCTTCGGAAAGCGGGGTGCGGGAAGGAAGCCTAGGCTCGGGGTCCACCGACCTCGGCGGAGAAAGGCAACAACCGGAGCCGATGACGAGCCGGCGCGTGCGTGCAGCGGCTGGCCTCGAGCTCGGGAAGCTGCGCGCGGCGATGTTGACGCGGGGCGCGCGAGAGCTTGGGGGCGGGGCGGGAGAGAGAGAGAAAGAGTTGGCAGCACCAGGCGCTGTTACTTATTGCGCTGCGGACGCTGCCAGCAACTGCGGTGGTTGTGCGGCGGCCGCCGCCGCAGAACGTCCTCGTCAGTCAGCTGAGCTGCCTGGCGGCGTAGGGAGCCGAGGGGCGGGGCTTCCTTTCTGAAGGAGCTGAGGGTGGGGGTCCTCCGGCGCCTTCGGCGAAACGGCGCCGGCCCAGAGCGCTTCTAGGAGGCTGCCTTTGTGCGCGACGTAAAGCCCTCTTTCCCTCCCTCCAGCCCCATGTCACATGTGGAATAAATAAAAACTGTGGCTGCATTGTAGCTACATCCCGGCCTCGGATCCCCGCGGGATTTGCCTAATCCTTTGGAAGCCCCCTCCCCTCCCCGGCCCCCCATTGTTCTGTCGGGGGTCCCGCGCCCCCCTCTCGCCTGTCCCCCGGGCTTTGTTCTCGATTTGGAGAGGCGGCGAGGCTCAGCTCCGGCTCCGGGAGAGGGAGGCTGCCTTCCAGCCCGCCCGTGCGCCCCGGGAGCCTGGACGGCGGGGACGGGAAGGAAGGCGCTTTGGGGGGCGCGGGGCGCCGTCCCGCCGCCGCCTCTCCCAGCAGCCCGGCAGGTAGGGGAGGGCGCGGAGGGGCGCCCGGCGCAGAGCTGGGAGCCTCCGCGAGGCCCCGGCGCGGAGCTGGGAGCCTCCGCGAGGCCCCGGGCTCGACGGGCGGGATAAAAAAGGCGGCGCCGGCTCGCAGCGCCTCCCCGAGCGCCCTTTGCACTCCGGACCGGCGGAAGCGGAAGCTACGCGGCTGCGGCCGCCCAGCCTGGCCGGGGATGGCGGGGCGCCAGGTACCGGCAGCCCTCGAGGGGAGGCGCCGGCGGCGTCCAGGGACCGCGCCCGCCCGGCCCGGGAGGCGGTTGCAGCGCCAGATGTTGCCGCTGCTGGAGAGCCTCCGAGCCCCGGGAGGCTGCGCGCGGCGGTGGCGGCGGCGTCCAGGCGCGCTGGGGGATGCGGGAGCCGAGGGGGCGCCCGCGGGGGAAGGGAAGGGGAACCCCCTCCTCTGCAGCGGGGCCCGAGGGCCTTGATCCAGATGGGCCGTGGCGCTCCAGCGTCTCCTCCGGTGGAGAGCGGGCGACCTCCAGTTGGGGGGCAGCAGGGGTGCCAAATGGATTAAAATATTGGGGGGCGCCCAGGTAAGCCCCACTCCAGGATAGATGGATTTCTATCCTCCGGGGGTCCTCCGGCGCTTTCGGCGAAACGGCGCCGGCCCAGAGCGCTTCTAGGAGGCTGCCTTTGTGCGCGACGTAAAGCCCTCTTTCCCTCCCTCCAGCCCCGTGTCACATGTTGAAAAGGGGGCTGGATCCAGTGACGCAACTCGGAAAACTGTTAGGGAAGCCAGAGCAGGAAAGTGAGTGGGAGGCGGCGTCGCCGCTTTAACCCACGTTTCCTTTTTAAAAGAGAAACCAGTGTTTCCCAACCTTTTTTGGACTCGCTCGCGGCACACCAGGCAACAGCTCACGGCACATTAGTGTGCCGCGGAACACCGGTTGGGAAACACTGGACTAGAGGACCCTTGTGGTCCCTTCCAACTCTGCAATTCTAAACCACAGAGCCTAGGGCTTGCCGATCAGAAGGTTGGCGGTTCGAATCCCCATGACAGGGTGAGCTCCCATTGCTCGGTCTCTGCTTCTGCCAACCTGGCAGTTCGAAAGCACGTCAAAGTGTAAGTAGATAAATAGGCACCACTCTGGTGGGAAGGTAAACGGCCTTTCCGTGCGCTGCTCTGGTTTGCCAGAAGCGGCTTAGTCATGCTGGCCACCTGATCTGGAAGCTGTATGCCAGCTCCCTTGGCCAGTAGAGCGAGATGAGCACTGCAACTACAGAGTCTTCCGCGACTGGACCTAACAGTCAGGGTTCCTTTACCTCTACCTATGTTCCATGTACACCACGCGCAATCTAGATTATTTACATATTTTCACCCCTGAAAAGTGCTTCCTGAGAAACTGGTTTCAATCCAAAGAGAATAGCTCATTGCAAAAAGAATCTGCATTATCTCCTTTTGAAAACAGATGTAGACTGTCCTGGCAATACCAGATGTATCCACACCTGCCCAGTGACATTGTGGGTGGGTGTATACCAAGAATGCAATCATTACTTCCTTCCTACATCAGGAGCATGCGCAGGAATAAAAAGGTGTGGATAACCTAAGAGGAGGGTTTTCAAATATGTATCACCTAACCACCCGCCCTTGTGAATGTCAGGATCTAGAATCAATCTAGCTTAAAAGCAGGATGTTGGGGATGAGCATGAACAATTATGGAGGAAAACTACTGCAGGTTAGTATGTATGTAGCCTGATTTCAAAACTCTAACCACTATGGGAGATTGGCTCTGGTTTATGCAAGAGTATCCCATTTAGATAGATAACTGGTTCAGGGTGAAGCTACTCTAACACCAACCAGAATGCAACTAAGACAATTCCCAGTCAAAAGCAGCATGAATAGGAAAATTTGTGGGGGGTGGGGGTGGGATCTTGTTATTCCAGCATATGGAGCAGCACATTCTCTTTCTAATTTGTCCATATTAGCTTCCCAATTCACTGTGTATTATCAATCACAGTGTGAAGGACTGTTGTGCTAGGAGCGGATGGAAAATCAAGGGGAATGCTCCATTGTTTCACTGTTAATTAGAAATGACAACAGCTCCTTGCCTCATTGTAGAGAGGAAGGTCTAAGAAAACAGCTACAGTCACTACCATCTTCCTTCATAGGAAAAGGACCACGTTTAGGAATAGCTGGCAATCTAATGAACCTGGTGGGTTTTTTCTTCCATCAAAGGCAGTTTTCTTGCACTTCAGACTAAATCAAAGATTTACAATGTGTCATACAAGAAAGATAGCAGGACCTGTATCTTTCCTCCCCGCAGTCAAAAAATGTCTGGAAGCAAAAGTCTTGCACAGTTTTTTTTACCCTTCCCACCATTCTAGAGGCTGGTTTTGATTTAAAAACAAAGAAACAAAAAACCCCCAACAAGATACAGCCAGCCAGTTGTAACATGTAGCTTGGTCATTTTAGAAGCAGCTATATGAACAGCTGAAGCAAGTTAGATGCATTTAGTTCTTCAGCATTTGCAAGTCAAGGTGGGGCTGGAATCTAATTCAATCTGCTGCTTAATCCATTTATACTAATCTGTAGCAGGCTTTGTGCAGATGACCCTGTAAGCACATAGGCTGAGTGAAAGAAACCGAGGGTTTATCTAGTCTCAAAAAGAAAGAAATGGACAAGGATCTCCATGGCAGGAAGATGAAGTGAGTGTACTTATCCTAGTATTGGTATCGCCCTTGATCCATCAGCAGTACTTCATGGTGCTCCTTCTTTGCACTGAATTTTGCTTTTATTTGCTGAACATGTTGCAGAATACAATTGCAAAAAACCCACAACCCCATACAATCTGTCTAGAGGGCCTTACATAAATACAAAGAACTGCTTTTTTTAATATCAAACTCTTTGCCTTTACTTTTCCAGAATGCCTATTGTGTGCTGGCATTTGATTCTCATTGGGGTGGATGGTTCCAAAAGGATAAATCTATGTTTAATAACCCTCCCTTTGATTTAATGATATACTAATGCTTCTGAAGGTGTGGGGGCTGGGAGCTGTGTCATTCCAGGTGGTAAAAAGTAATATGAACGAATGGCAGAAATCAGAAGGAGAAGCTGCTGGTTAAATGTGCGCTTTCTCCTCCGAGCGCTGGTGGTATTGACATCAGTATGCACAAAATGCTTTCAAATAAAATTATCCTGCAATTGCCTGGGATACTTCATGCAGGAATTGATTGGGCAATCCTAAATTTAGTTAAGAGGGAAAGCC